GTAGGATGGGGAGGAGGAGAAGGGAGGTAGGGATGGGGGAGGAGAGAGTGGTAGGATGGGGGAGGAGGAGAGAGAGGCAGGATGGGTGGAGGAGGAGAAGGAGGTAGGATGGGGGAAGGAGAGAAGGAGGATGGAGGGAAGAGAGAGAGGAGGATGGGGAGGAGGAGAAGGAGGTAGGATGGGGGAGGAGAGAGTGGTAGGATGGGGAGGAGGAGAGAGAGGTGGATGGGGGAAGAGGAGAGAGAGGCAGGATGGGGGGAGGAGGAGAAGGAGGTAGGATGGGGGGAAGGAGGAGAAGGGAGGTAGGATGGGGAGGAGGAGGAAAGAGAGGAGGATGAGGGAGGAGGAGAAGGAGGCAGGATGGGGAGGAGGAGAAGGAGGTAGGATGGGGGAGGAGGAAAGAGAGGCAGGATGGGGAGGAGAAGGGAGGATGGGGGGAGGAGGAAAAGTGGTAGGATGGGGAGGGGAGGAGGAGAAGGGGAGGTAGGATGGGGAGGAGGAGAAGGAGGAGGATGGGGAGGAGGAAGGGAGGTAGGATGGGGAAGAGAAGGAGGTAGGATGGGGAGGAGGAAAGAGAGGATGGGGGAGGAGGAAGGGAGGTAGGATGGGGAGGAGGAGAAGGGAGGTAGGATGGGGAGGAGGAAAGAGAGGTAGGATGGGGGAGGAGGAGAAGGGAGGTGGATGGGGGGGAGGAGGAGAAGGGAGGTAGGATGGGGAGGAGGAGAAGGAGGCAGGGATGGGGAGGAGAGTGGTAGGATGGGGGGAGGAGGAGAGAGAGGTAGGATGAGGGGAGGAGGAGAAGGAGGTAGGATGGGGAGGAGGAAAGTGGTAGGATGAGGGGAGGAGGAGAAGGGAGGTAGGATGGGGGAGGAGGAGAAGGAGGTAGGATGGGGAGGAGGAGAAGGAGGTAGGATGGGGAGGAGGAGAGAGAGGTAGGATGAGGGGAGGAGGAGAGAGAGGTAGGATGGGGGAGGAGGAGAGAGGGAGGATGGGTGGAGGAGGAGGAGGAGGAGGATGGGGAGGAGGAAAGTGGTAGGATGAGGGAGGAGGAGAAGGGAGGTAGGATGGGGAGGAGAGAGAGGCAGGATGGGGAGGAGGAGAGAGAGTAGGATGAGGGAGGAGGAGGAAGGGAGGTAGGATGGGGAGATGAAAAGTGGTAGGATGAGGGGAGGAGGAGAAGGAGGTAGGATGGGGGGAGGAGGAGGAAGGAGGTAGGATGGGGGAAGAGGGAGAGAGGAGATGGGTGAGGAGGAGAAGGAGGCAGGATGGGGAGGAGGAAAGAGAGAGGTTGAGGGGAGGGAGGAGAGAGAGGTAGATGGGGGAGGAAGAGAAGGAGGTAGGATGGGGAGGAGGAAAAGTGGTAGGATGAGGGAGGAGGAAGGGAGGTAGGATGGGGGAGGAGGAGAAGGGAGGTGGGGAGGGGAGGAGAAGGGAGGTAGGATGGGGGAGGAGGAGAAGGGAGGTAGGATGGGGGGAGGAGGAAAGAGAGGTAGGATGGGGGAGGAGGAAGGAGGTATTGGGGGGGAGGAGGAAGGGAGGTAGGATGGGGGAGGAGGAGAAGGAGGCAGGATGGGGAGGAGGAGAAGGGAGGTAGGATGGGGAGGAGGAAAGAGAGGTAGGATGAGGGGAGGAGGAGAAGGGAGGTAGGATGGGGAGGAGGAGAAGGGAGGTAGGATGGGGAGGAGGGAAAGGAGGTAGGATGGGGGAGGAGAAGGAGGTAGGATGGGGAGGAGGAGTGGTAGGATGAAGGAGAGGAGAAGGGAGGTAGAATGGGGAGGAGGAAGGAGAGGATGGGGGAGGAGGAAAAGTGGTAGGATGAGGGGAGGAGGAGAAGGAGGTAGAATGGGGAGGAGGAGAAGGAGGTAGGATGGGGGAGGAGGAAAAGTGGTAGGATGAGGGGAGGAGGAGAAGGGAGGTAGAATGGGGAGGAGGGAGAAGGGAGGTGGGATGGGGGAGGAGGAGAAGGAGGTAGAATGGGGAGGAGGAGAAGGGAGGTAGGATGGGGGAGGGAGGGAGAAGGAGGTAGGATGGGGGGAGGAGGAAAAGGAGAGGGATGGGGAGGAGGAGAAGGGAGGTAGAATGGGGGGAGGAGGAGAAGGAGGAGGGATGGGGAGGAGGAGAAGGGAGGTAGGATGGGGGAGGAGGAAAGGGAGGTAGGATGGGGTGGAGGAGGAGAGAGAGGTAGGATGGGTGAGGAGGAGAAGGGAGGTAGGATGGGGGAGGAGGAGAGAGAGAGGATGAGGGGAGGAGGGAGAAGGAGGTGATGGGGGAGGAGGAGAAGGGAGGTAGGATGGGGGGGAGGAGAAGGGAGGTAGGATGGGTGAGAGGAGAAGGAGGCAGGATGGGGAGGAGGAGAGAGAGGTAGGATGGGGGAGGAGGAGAAGGAGGCAGGGATGGGTGAGGAGGAGAAGGGAGGGATGGGAGGAGGAGAAGGGAGGAGGATGGGGGAGGGAGGAGAAGGAGGTGAGGATGGGGGGAGGAGGAGAAGGAGGTAGGATGGGGGAGGAGGGAGAAGGGAGGTAGGATGAGGGGAGGAGGAGAAGGAGGATGGGGAGGAGGGAGAAGGAGGTAGGATGGGGAGGAGGAGAAGGGAGGTAGGATGGGTGAGAGGAGAAGGGAGGTGGGATGGGGAGGAGGAAGGGAGGTAGGATGGGGGGAGGAGGAGAAGGAGGTAGGATGGGGAGAGAGGAGAAGGGAGGTAGGATGGGGGAGGAGGAGAGGGAGGATGAAGGGGAGGAGGAGAAGGGAGGTAGGATGGGAGAGAAAGGGGAAAGGCAGAGTAGAAGAGGAGAGGGATGTAGGATGGGTGAGGAAGAGAAGGAGGTAGGATGGGGGAGGAGGAGAGAGGAGGGATGGGGAGGAGGAGAAGGGAGGTAGGATGGGGGAGAGAGAGAGAGGTAGGATGAGGGAAGGAGAAGAAGGGAGGTAGGATGGGGGGAGGAGGAGAAGGGAGGTAGGATGGGGAGGAGGAGAAGGGAGGTAGGATGGGTGAGGAGGAGAAGGGAGGTAGGATGGGGGAGGAGGAAAGAGAGGTAGGATGAGGGGAGGAGGAGAGAGAGGTAGGTGTCATGGTTTTGGGTTGTATCCGTGGTAGTAGGAGTGGATTATATTATATAAAGATAATATTATGTCGTATTTCTTATTTCTTACCGTAGAGTTCGATACCTTCACACTGGTTACTTACAGGAGATTATGGTGTATGGTGGTGAAGTTCACTCACCACTGACATTCCATGACTTATACTCTGATAAAATGATGATTTAATGAATTCATTTAATTTTCAACATCCATCTAAGTTATTGGTTATACTATGTCATAACCATTAGTCATTACCTTTAGTAATAATAAGATAGGATCACAGATACGGGCAGATAATTGCACTTACATTTATTTGTCAAGCTTCCATACAATGATTTACAATTTGCATGGATATATGATTTACTCACGTTCACGCTGTAATAAAATTAATCTTCTAAAACAGGGAATTTCCAACTTGGGACACATGTGATTACTCTACTGTGGTATGACTTAACAGAGCCTTAATTCTTCAAGTGATACATTTACTGCCAGCCTGGATTGCTTTTGTTGCAACCAGGCATCATCACAAGAACTTCTTCCCACGGCCATAACAACAAAAAGGTACTCTGGGTTACCACACACAGTCTCGCGTCACTGACAGTCACTGGACGGTTGTCGCGGCAAGTAGAACTGGTAAGCGTGACTTGAATTAACCATTAGGTGCATAGACCAGCCTGGATTGCTTTGTCGCAACCAGGCTTCCACATGTGATATTTCCACGGGGATAACAACCTAGGTTAACACACTTAATCTCGTGTCGACGACGGTTCACAGGACAGTGGCGGTGGAGGACTCTGTGTGGTGTGGTGTCCCGCTCCCTTCAGGAGGGAGAGGATGGAGACGACGTCTTAACTAACCCATGGCCAGGGGATACTACTCAAATGAGGTTTTTGGGTGTGAAGCGATGAACAGTACAACACTGTTTCACTGCCCACCCCCAAAGGCTGGCTGACATACACCACTGAAAAATACATGTCCCAGTTATGCCTCGCCCGGCGTCTTATCTCTGGTAAAACAAACTTTGGTTGGTTGCGTGGGTAAGCCTAACGCAACCCATGACAGTAGGATGGGGAGGAGAAGGAGGTAGGATGAGGGGAGGAGGAGAGAGAGGTAGGATGGGGAGGAGAAGGAGGAGGATGAGGGAAGAGGAGAAGGGGAGGTGGTGAGGAGAGAAGGAGGTAGGATGGGTGAGGAGGAGAAGGGAGGTAGGATGTGAGAGGAGAAGGAGGGGATGGGGAGGAGGAGAAGGGAGGTAGTATGTTAGGAGGAGAGAAGTAGGATGGAGGAGGAGAAGGAGAGGATGTTGGGAGGAGGAGAGAGGTAGGATGTGGGAGGAGGAGAAGGAGTAGATGAGGAGGGGGAGAGCTAGGATGGATTGGGGTGTTGATGGCCGGCCAGTACACACCTGCCTTCTCCCACCATAAGGGGTAACATCACCTCCAGGCCCCTCACTACACTGGGTGGTCGCTACTGCTTCTCTCCCACACCTGCTGCTTCTCTCCCACACCTGCTGCTTCTCTCCACACCTGCTGCTTCTGCCCACACCTGCTGCTTCTCTCCCACACCTGCTGCTTTTCCACACCTGTTGCTTCTGTCCCACACCTTCTGTTTCTGTCCCACATCTGCTTCTGTCCCACACCTGCTGCTTCTCTCCCACACCTTCTGCTTCTGTCCCACACCTGTTGCTGTTCTCCCCACACCTGCTGCTTCTCTCCCACACCTGTCGCTTCCCACACCTGTTGCTTTTCTCCCACACCTGCTGTTACTCTCCCACACCTGCTGTTACTCTCCCACACCTGCTGTTTCTGTCCCACACCTGCTCTGTGCCACACCTGCTTCTGTCCCACACCTGCTGCTTCTCTTCCACATCTTCCGCCTCTCTCCCACACCTGCTGCTCTCTCCCACACCTGCTGCTTCTCTCTCACACCTGCTGCTTCCTCCCACACCTGTTGCTTTCTCCCACACCTGTTGCTTTCTCCCAGACCTGCTGCATATCTCCCACACCTGCCCCACACCTGCTCTTCTCCCACACCTGCGCCCCCCTCTTCCCACACCTGCTGCTTCTCTCCCACACCTGCTGCACTTTTCCACACCTGCTGCTTCTGTCCCACACCTTCTGTTTCTGTCCCACATCTGCTTCTGCCCCACACCTGCTGCTTCTCTCCCACACCTTCTGCCTCTGTCCCACACCTGTTGCTGTCTCCCACACCTGCTGCTTCTCTCCCACACCTCGCTTCTCCCACACCTGTTGCTTTTCTCCCACACCTGCTGTTACTCTCCCACACCTGCTGTTTTCGTCCCACACCTGCTTCTGTGCCACACCTGCTTCTGTCCCACACCTGCTGCTTCCACATCTTCCGCCTCCCACACCTGCTGCTTCTTCCCACACCTGCTGCTTCTCTCTCACACCTGCTGCTTCCACACCTGCTGCTTCTCCCACACCTATTGCTTTTCTCCCAGACCTGCTGCATATCTCCCACACCTGCACATGCTTTTCCACACCTGCTGATGCTCTCCCACACCTGCTGCTTCCACACCTGCACATGCTTTTCCACACCTGCTGATTCTCTCCCACACCTTCTGATTCTCCCACACCTTCTGCTTCTCTCCCACACCTGCTGCTTCTCTTCCACACCTGCACATGCTTTTCCACACCTGCTGATTTCCCTCCCACACCTTCTGATTCTCTCCCCACAGCTTCTGCTTCTTCTCCCACACCTGCTGATGCTCTCCTCACCTGCTGCTTCCTTCCACACCTGCACATGCTTTCCACACCTGCTGATGCTCTCCCACACCTGCTGCTTCTCTTCCACACCTGCACATGCTTTTCCACACCTGCTGATTCCTTCCCACATCTTCTGCTTCTGCCCCACACCTGCTGCTTCTGTCCCACATCTTCTGCTTCTGTCCACACCATCTGCTTTCTGTCCCACACCTTCTGCTTCTGTCCCACACCTTCTGCTTCTGTCCCACACCTGTTGCTGTTCTCCCACACCTTCAGCTTCTGTCCCACACCTTCTGCTTCTGTCCCACACCTTCTACTTCTGTCCCACACCTTCTGCTTCTGTCCCACCTGCTGCTTCTGTCCCACACCTTCTGCTTCTGTCCCACACCTGTTGCTGTTCTCCACACCTTCTGCTTCTGTCCCACACCTTTTGCTTCTGTCCCACACCTTCTGCTTCTGTCCCACACCTTTTGCTTCTGTCCCACACCTTCTGCTTCTCTCCCACACCTTCTGCTTCTGTCCCACATCTTCTGCATTTGTCCCACACCTGCTGCTTCTGTCCCACACCTGCTTCCTGTCCCACACCTTCTCTCCCACACCTTCTGCTTCTGTCCCACACCTTCTGCTTCTGTCCCACACCTTCTGCTTCTGTCCCACACCTGCTGCTCTCCCCACATCTCTGCTTCTGTCCCACACCTTCTGTTTCTGTCCCACACCTTCTGCTTCTGTCCCACACCTTCTGCTTCTGTCCCACACCTGCTGCTTCTGTCCCACACCTTCTGCTTCTGTCCCACACCTGCTTCTGTCCCACACCTTCTGCTTCTCTCCCACACCTGCTGTTACTCTCCCACACCTGCTGCTGCTCTCCCTCACCTGTTGCTGCGTCTCTCCACACCTGTTGCTGGTTCTCTCTCACACCTGCTGCTTCTCTCCACCTGTTGCTTCCCACACCTGCTGCTTCTGTCCCACACCTTCTGCTTCTGTCCCACACCTTCTGCTTCTGTCCCACACGTACTGCTTCTCTCCCACACCTGCTGTTACTCTCCCACACCTGCTGATGCTCTCCCACACCTGTTGCTTCTCTCCCACACCTACTGCTTCTGTCCCACACCTCTGCTTTCTCTCCCACACCTTCTGCTTCTGTCCCACATCTTCTGCATTTGTCCCACACCTGCTGCTTCTGTCCCACACCTTCTGCTTCTCTCCCACACCTGCTGCTTCTCTCCCACACCTGCTGCTTCTCTCCCACACCTGCTGCTCTCTCCCACACCTGCTGCTTCTCTCTCACACCTGCTGCTTCTCTCCCTCACCTGCTGCTTCCCACATCTGTTGCTTCTCTCCCACACCTGCTGCTTCTCTACCACTCCTGCTGCTTCTCTCCCACACCTGCTGCTTCTCTCCCACACCTGCTGCTTCCCACACCTGCTGCTTCTTTCCACACCTGCTGCTTCTGTCCCACACCTTCTGTTTCTGTCCCACACCTGTTGCTGTTCTCCCACACCTACTGTTACTCTCCCACACCTTCTGCTTCTGTCCCACACCTGCTGCTTCTCTTCCACACCTTCTGCTTCTGTCCCACACTTGTTGCTGTTCTCCCACACCTGCTGCTTCTCTCCCACACCTGTCGCTTCTCTCCCACACCTGTTGCTTTTTCTCCCACACCTGCTGTTACTCTCCCACACCTGCTGTTTTCTGTCCCACACCTGCTTCTGTCCCACACCTGCTGCTTCTTCCTCCCACACCTGCACATGCTTTTCCACACCTGCTGATTCTCTCCCACACCTGCTGATGCTATCCCACACCTGCTGCTTCTCCCACACCTGCTGCTTCTGTCTCACACCTTCTGCTTCTGTCCCACACCTTCTGCTTCTGTCCCACACCTGCTGCTTCTCCCACACCTGCTGCTTCTGTCCCACACCTTCTGCTTCTGTCCCACACCTGCTGCTTCCGTCCCACACCTTCTGCTTCTGTCCCACACCTTCTGCTTCCGTCCCACACCTGCTGCTTCTCTCCCACACCTGCTGCTTCCGTCCCACACCTTCTGCTTCTGTCCCACACCTGCTGCTTCTTCCACACCTGCCTGCTCTGTCCCACACCTTCTGCTTCTGTCCCACACCTTCTGCTTCTGTCCCACACCTGCTGCTTCTTCCCACACCTGTTGCTTCCAGTCCCACACCTTCTGCTTCCGTCCCACACCTTCGCTTCTGTCCCACACCTTCTGCTTCTGTCCCACACCTGCTGCTTTCTCCCACACCTGTTGCTTCCGTCCCACACCTTCTGCTTCCGTCCCACACCTTCTGCTTCTGTCCCACACCTCTGCTTCCGTCCCACACCTTCTGCTTCTGTCCCACACCTGTTGCTTCTCTCCCCACACCTACTGTTACTCTCCCACACCTGCTGCTTCTGTCCCCACACCTTCTGCCTCCCACACCTGCTGCTTCTCCCACACCCTTCTTCTGTCCCACACCTGCTGCTTCTCCCACAACTTCTGCTTCTGTCCCACATCTTCTGCATTTGTCCCCACACCTTCTGATTCTGTCCACACCTTCTGCTTCTGTCCCACATCTTCTGCATTTGTTCCACCTGCTGCTTCTGTCCCACACCTTCTGCTTCTGTCCCACACCTTCTGCTTCTGTCCCACATCTTCTGCATTTGTCCCACACCTGCTGCTTCTGTCCCACACCTTCTGCTTCTGTCCCACACCAGTTGCTTCTCTCCCACACCTGCGTTACTCCCACACCTGCTGCTTCTCTCCCACACCTGCTGTAATTCTCCCACACCTGATCCTGCTCTCCAACACCTGCTCCTGCTCTCCCACACCTAATCCTGCTCTCCCACACCTGCCCTGCTCTCCCACACCTGCCCTGCTCTTCCACACCTGTCCCTGCTCTCCACACCTGCCCCTGCTCTACCACACCTAATCCTGCTCCCCCACACTTGCTCCTGCCTCCACACCTGCCCCTGCTCCCCACACCTGCTCCTGCTCTCCCACACCTAATCCTGCTTCCCACACCTGCCCCTGCTCTCCCACACCTGCTCCTGCTCTCCCACACCTGCCCCTGCTCTACCCACACCTAATCCTGCTCCCACACCTGCCCCTGCTCTCCACACCTGCCCCTGCTCCCCCAACACCTGCCCTGCTCTCCCACACCTAATCCTCTCTCCCACACCTGCTCCTGCTCCCACACCTGCTCCTGCTCTCCCACACCTGCTCCCTGCTCTCCCACACCTGCTCCCTGCTTCCACACCTAATCCTGCTCTCCCACACCTAATCCTGCTCCCCCACACCTGCCCCCTGCTCTCCCACACACCTGCCCCTGCCCCCAACACCTGCTCCTGCTCTCCCACACCTAATCCTGCTCTCCCACACCTGCCCTCTTGCTCCCACACCTGCTCCTGCTCTCCCACACCTGCTCCTGCTCTCCCACACCTGCTCCTGCTCTTCCACACCTAACCTGCCTCCCACACCTGCCCTGCTCTCCCACACCTGTCCCTGCTCTCCCACACCTGCCCCTGCTCACCACACCAATCCTGCTCCCCACACTTGCTCCTGCCTCCCACACCTGCCCCTGCTCCCCACACCTGCTCCTGCTCTCCACACCTAATCCTGCCTCCCAAACCTGCCCCTGCTCCCCCACACCTGCTCCTGCTCTCCCACACCTGCTCCTGCTCTCCACACTTTTTCCTGCTCTCCCACACCTGCTCCTGCTCTCCCACACCTGCCCCTGCTCCCCACACCTGCCCTGCTCCCCCACACCTGCTCCTGCTCCACACCTGCTCCTGCCTCCCACACCTTTTCCTGCCTCCCACACCTGCCACTGCTCTCCCACACCTGCCCCTGCTCCCCACACCTCCTCCTGCTCTCCCACACCTGCTCCTGCTCTCCACACTTTTTCCTGCTCTCCCACACCTGCTCCTGCTTTCCCACACCTACTGCTCTTTTCACACAGTTGCTTCCCCACACTTAACACATACTTACTGCTGTTCGCTGTAGTGCCACAGAGCTGTAGTGTAACACACT